TCATGAGAAAAAAAGTCGCCAGCTAATTATATAAAATTAAAGTTGACCTGTTTCACATGTTAACATAAAGCTATTAGTCTTCTATGAGAATACTCAGACCAGGCTTTCCTTCAGAAAAGGATAATATTTCGATCCTTCTATTATTCTTTATCTGTCACAGCAAGATCATTAACATAGCTTTAAATTAACATTAATGTATAGGCCCTTTTTAAAGAGAATCTTTGAGGAACTTTGCAAGTTTTCATGAATAATTTCCCAACATGTCACAATATACAGGAACAGGATCATTTAAAAAATGCCATACCTTTCATCATTTAAAAAGCAATTGCTGAGCTCCATTCATACACTAGTATCTGAACAAAGATGGCTCCATAGTTCTGAGGAGGGAAGCAGAAGGCGGCGTTGTTGTGGTAGTACAGTGATCTCTTTCTCAATACTCAGCATGCATGTAACATGACAAAATACAGTATATTTGATACTAGGTCTGCTTACCTTTAGTGGATACAACTTTTCTTTGCAGAAATTGGTTATTTAGCACTTTTTTGTATACCTTTTTATTTATGAGAACAGTAAATTTGTAGGCTTCCATCATAAAAGAGACTTATTTGTATATTCTGAACTGTCCTATGACTGATGTTTTTTGTGTGCATTTTACTTCACTCTGCCATGCCTTGAGGCCACTAGCTGCAGTATTGTTTGTTTTGTAGGAGATAATTTGGAACAACTCCTGTACCAACTCTATAAAATGTATGTTTTCCCAGAAGCCGTCTACTGGATCTGTTGCCAGAGATTTTTCTAATTAAACGAAGACACTCTCTCCCGAAAGACAGGACATGTACATTGTTGTGGAAATTTCTTTGGCCCTTTTCAGTTTATTCTTCTTTATTGTCATGAACATAAATATAATCAGACCCAGCTTGAGGTAGTCAAAATTTTTAGTCATTAAGAAAAAACAACTATCCAACCAACATTACCTGCAAGTACTTTCCATTGTGAACGGATTGTCCTTGATGTGTACCTGAAGTCCCCAAACCTTGGTACACTAAAAGGTGGAGTTCTGACATGGTCTTGTTCCATAACATGGGTGCCTATTGCAACTTTAATATTGCTCTATATGCAGTATAATGCTAGCATACACTATATTGCCAAACGTATTGGGACACCCCTCCAAATCATTGGATTCCGGTGTTCCAATCACCTCTATTGCCACAGGTTTAAAAATATAGCAACAAAAAAAGAGTTGTAGTTGCAAACTACCAAAGTAGGTAATAACCACCCAGGCGATGTAGCTCAAATGTAAAATCACATATTTTTATTAATCCCATGTTGGGAAAGAAAAGTGATATGTGTAGATGGTGACACATACAATCACTGAACACATATTTAAAAACAATGAAAGATAAGCAATCTGGATTGCAACATGTGTACATTTCAGTGGTATTCACTTTAGACTGGTATGAGATTATGTATAGCACTGGAATGTTTCATATGAAACTATAATTTACCATATAAATCATGACTACGTATAAATAATATAATAAATATGCATTTCGACTATTGAAAGATGCATTAGGTGTGAATAAGCACGTCATGATGTAATAATTGTTTCCGATACGTGGGAATATCAAAATAAGTTGCTGGTTGATAAAATATCCAGTATTGGGATATGATGGAATATAATCATGGAATTATACAGTGTTGAAATGGATTCATACTGTCCCATGTTATTTCAAAAACTTGAAAACTGTGTGGTATAAATCATGAAGTATCGTTGAGACATATACAGTTGCAAGAAAAAGTATGTGAACCCCTTGCGATTATGTGGAGTTTTGCATGAATTGGGCATAAAATGTGCTCTGAACGTCATCTAAGTCACAACAATAGAAGAACACAGTCTGTTGAACATAATACTACACAAACATTAGATGTTGCCATGGTTTAATTGCACATAACATGTAAACATTCACAGTGCAGGGAGGAAAAAGTACGTGAACCTTTGGACTTAATAACTGGTTGACCCTCCTTTGGCAGCAATAACCTCAACCAAACATTTCCTGTAGTTGCAGATCAGACCTGCACAACGATCTGGAGTAATTTTGGACCACTCCTCTTCACAAAACTGTTTCAGTGTAGTAATATTCTTGGGATGTCTGGTGTGAATCGCTCTCTTAAGGTCATGCCACAGCATTTCAATCGGGTTGAGGTCAGGACTCTGACTAGGCCACTCCAGAAGGCGTATTCTGTGCTGTTGCAGCCATTGTTTTGTTGAATTACTTGTATGCTTTGGGTCATTGTCCTGTTGCATCACTTATCCTCTGCGGAGCTTCAGTTGGCGGACAGATGGTCGTAGGTTTTCCTGCAAAATGTCTTGATAAACTCTGGAATTCATTTTCCCATCAATGACAACAATCCGTCCAGGCCCTGAGGCAGCAAAGCAGCCCCAAACCATGATGCTCCCTCCGCCATGTTTTACAGTGGGGATGAGGTTTTGATGTCGGTGTGCTGTGCCTTTTTTTCTGCACACATAGTGTTGTGTGTTCTTCCCAAACAACTCAATCTTGGTTTCATCTGTCCACAGTATATTTTGCCAGTAGTGCTGTGGAACATCCAGGTGCTCTTTTGCAAACTTCAAACATGCTGCAATATTCTTTTTGGACAGCAATGGCTTCCTCCGTGGTGTCCTCCCATGTACTCCATTCTTGTTTAATGTTTTTTCTTATTGTAGATGTGTCAACAAAAATGTTAGCATGTGCCAGAGATTTCTGTAGGTCTTTAGCTGACACTCTGGGATTCTTCTTTACCTCATGCAGCATTCTGCGCTGTGCTCTTGCAGTCATTTTTACAGGACGACCACGCCTAGGAGAGTAGCAACAGTGCTAAACTTTCTCCATTTGTAGACAGTCTGTCTTACCGTGGACACATGAACATCAAGGCTTTTGGAGGTACTTTTGTAACCCTTTCCAGCTTCATGCAAGTCAACAATTCTTGATCGTAGTTCTTCTGAGAGCTCTTTTCTGCGAGGCATGGTTCACATCAGACAGTGCTTCTTGAAACCAGTAAACCCAAAACAGGTGTGTTTTTTAAGGGCAGGACAGCAGTCAGCAACACATCCAATGTCATCACACTGATTGGAGTTAAGGTTGGCTCACTCCTGGCTCCAATTAGCTCTGGGAGAAGTCATTAAGCTAGGGCCTCACATACTTTTTCCTCCCTGCACTGTGAATGTTTACATGTTATGTGCAATTAAACCATGGCAACATCTAATGTTTGTGTAGTATTATGTTCAGTAGACTTTGTTCTTCTATTGTTGTAACTTAGATGACGCTCAGAGCACATTTTATGCCCAATTCATGCAAAACTCCACCTAATCCCAAGGGGTTCACATACTTTTTCTTGCAACTGTACGTTATCCCATGTATAGATGTTACTCCAGATAGGCCAAATAGAGAGCGTGAGGTACAGCTGAGAGATAGTAGATAGACTTCAGGTGAGGTGTGTAACAGCATATACAGTAGTGATGGTTGATAGTACACCACACTCACCACTGTCGAATTTGCTGAAGGCCAGAATAGTTCCAGGTAGTAAGACTCTCAATACGCTGTGACTCTATTGCCAGGTAGTGGATAAATGATGAATAGCCGGCATCAGGATAGTAGTCAGGCCTCATATTCTGGATTGCATGGTATGCAGTGTTCCCTCCGGATCCGGAGGCATGTCAAATGGCGCAGCATCTGAAACTGCTCTCACCAGTTCATGATATCAATCACGTGGGACAATGCTTCCGGGTGTGATGATGTCAGTACATTACATTGACGCGTTTCGTCCACCAATCAGTGCAGACTTCTTCAGAATAAGGAGGAGACAGTGAGAGCTGCTTAAATACCCCATTTTCTAATTGGGAATATTACACAGCACCCCCTAGTGACTTAAAGTCATCATAGCTTGATATAGAAAATTTTAATTAACAGCATAACAGTAATAGTAAATAATTCACCCTGCTGGCAAAGTAGTATTAGTACTAACATGGCAGTCAGTCTGGATTAATTGAATTCAATTTAAGAAGAGCTTGAAATTAAGTTCAATATTTAAACCTTTTGGAACAAGTGTTTCAAGAGTATATATCCAACATTTTTCTCTGTAATAACAATTTGTCAAAATCCCCCTTCCTGGGGAGATGTTGAGAGCAAAAATTCCTTTTACCTTCAGACCATCAATTCATCCATTATGAAAATGCTTAAAATGCTGGGCTAGGGGATTTTCCCTTCCGTTATCTTTGGGCTTTTGATTAGATCTAATATTCCTAAGGTGTTCACCTATACGAATTCTTAACTGTCGTTTAGTTTTCCCTATGTAGAACTTTTTACACGGGCATTCAATCATATAAATAACTTTGGAACTAGAGCAGTTAATTTCGAATATTGTAAAGTTTAGTTCTGTTGGTATTTGAAAAGTTCTTAGTTTTATCCACATGGGGGCATATTTGACAGTGCATACAAGGGAACATACCTGTCAATGTCGGTTGTCCGGTTAACCAATTGTTCATTATAGGTTTCCTATATTCAGATCTTACTAATATGTCATTTAAATTAGAGGCCACTACAAAGGGTTTTTCTCCCACTATATTGGCTATAATCGAGTTGGCTGTAAGGATATGCCAGTGTTTTTGTATAGTGTTCTTTACGTCTTGCCATTGTTGTCCATATTTTGTAATAAACCGAATAGGCCCCGTAAATTTCAGAACCTGTCCTTGAACTTTTGTGTCATGTAGTGTCTCCCTCTGAGCTTGCAGTACTTTTACCTTTGCTTTCCTAAGTGTTTTAGGGGAGTACCCGCTATTAAGATGCGTTCTTTGAGCTCACTATTAGGCTACCCCGCCTATATTTTTGTGGTAACCTTACATATATGATTGTCAGTATAAAATCAAGCACCTAGGCATGCAGACTGCTTCTACAAACATTTATGAAAGAATGGGTCGCTCTCAGGAGCTCAGTGAATTCAAGCATGGTACCATGATAGGTTGCCACCTGTGCAATAAGTCCATCTGTGAAATTTCCTTGTTATTAATTATTCCACGGTCAACTGTTAGTGGTATTACAACAAAGTGGAAGCAACTGGGAACAACAGCATTTCAGCCACAAAGTGGAAGGCCATGTAAAATGACAAAGCGGGGTCAGCACATGCTGGAGCACATAGTGTGCAAAAGTCGTCAACTGTCTGAAGAGTCAATAGCTAAAGACCTCCAAAAACTTTGTGTGGCCTTCAGATTAGCACAACAGCAGTGCATAGAGAGCTTTATGGAATGAGTTTCCATGGCCGAGCAGCTGTATCCAAGCTTTACATCACCAAGTGCAATGCAATGTGTCAGATGCAGTGGTGTAAAGCACGCCGCCACTTGACTCTAGAGCAGTGGAGACGTGTTCTCTGGAGTGACGAATCATGCTTCTCGGTCTGGCAATCTGATGTGTCTGGGTTTGGCAGTTGCCAGGAGAACGGTACTTGCCTGACTGCATTTTGCCATGTGTAAAGTTTGGTGGAGGGGGGATTATGGTGTGGGGTTGTTTTTTAGGGGTTGGGCTTGGACCGTTAGTTCCAATGAAGGGAACACTTAAGGCGTCAGCATACCAAGACAATTTCATGCTCCCAACTTTGTGGGAACAGTTTGGGGATGGCCCCTTCATGCTCCAACACGTTTGCACACCAGTGCACAAAGCAAGGTCCATAAAGATATGGATGAGCGAGTTTGGGGTTGAGGAACTTGGATGGACTGCACAGAGTCCTGACCTTAACCCAATAAAACACCTTTAGAATGAATTAAAGCGGAGACTGCGAGCCAGGCCTTCTCATCCAACATCAGTGCCTGACCTCACAAATGTGCTTCTGGAAGAATGGTCAAACATTCCCAGACACACTTCTAAACCTTGTGGACAGCCTTTCCAGAAGAGTTGAAGCTGTTATAGCTGCAAAGGGTGGGCCAACTCAATATTGAACCCTACAGAATAAGACTGGGATGCCATTAAAGTTCATATGCATGGAAAGGCAGGCATCCCAATGCTTTTGGCAATACAGTGTATGTTATATCTCAATAGAATATGAAATAAATACAACCCCAATTCCAAAAAAGTTGGGATGCTGTGTTAAATCTACATAAAAACAGAATACAATGATTTGCAAATCTTATAACCCAATATTTATTTCAGTATAAAATAGAAAACATTAAATGTTTAACCACTTGCATACCAGGCACTTATACCCCCTTCGTGCCCAGGCCAATTTTCAGCTTTCAGCGCTGTCGCACTTGTCGGCAATTGCGTGGTCATGCAACACTGCACCCATATGAAATGCTTATCATTTTTTTCACACAAATAGAGCTTTCTTTTGGTGGTATGTACTCGCTGCTGCATGTTTTATTTTTTGTGCTATAAACAAAAAAAGAGCAACAATTTTGAAAAAAAAGTTTTTCTTTGTTTCTGTTATAAAATTTTGCAAACAGGTAATTTTTCTCCTTCACTGATGTGCGTTGATGAGGCTGCACTGATAGGCGGCACTGATGAGGTGACACAAATAGGCAGCACTGATGGGCATTGATAGATGGCACTGATATGCAACAATGATGGGCACTGACTGGCAGCACTGCTGGGTGGCACTACTAGGCACTGGTGGGTGGCACTGTGACAGCGTGATGAAAGTGCAGCCGATAACCGGCAACTGCATTTACCGGTGATCTGCTGTGTGATTGGCCTTTCACCACATCACGTGATCAGCTGTGTCCGTAGAACACAGTGATCACGCGTTCTGGGAGGACGTCATATGACGCCCTCCCAGAACTGGCCGGCTGCGGTGAAGCCGTCATTCGGCTATCTGCGGTCGGAAAGTGGTAAAACTGAGAAAATGTATAATTTTAAGAAAAAAATCAGTTATTACCTGTTAACTGTATTTCAATGAATCTTCAATAGCTTACATGAAAGATAGGCTCCTCCTCCCACCAGGAAACAACTGATCCACTTTTTCCCTAATAGCCAGCCTCTCCATCCCTGGGTCCTTAGCATAGGAATATAACTGAAGGTCTAGGAAAGATCATAAGAATAACAGTAGTAACAGTATATATGTATAAATAGTCCTTCACATGACAACATGACCACTCATAACACGTCACCAATTGGGCGGGAACTACGCTGTCCTGGAAGATTCCTGAAAATACAGTTAATAGGTAATAACTGTGTTTTCCCAAGTCATTTTTCCAGGACAGCTTACATGAGGATTAAATAGAAATACATACATTAGGGTGGGACTGCTGATCGAAAGACCTTCCTGCCGAATGCTTGTTCTTTATTGGTGGTTAGGTCTAACCGGTAATGCCTGGCGAATGTGCTAAAGCTGGACCATGTTGCGGTCTTGCAGATCTGTTCAGGGGAGGCTCCAGCTTTTTCCGCCCAAAACAACAAACAGGGGTAGTGTCTGTCCTGGCCGGAGGAAACACCAATACTGAGGACCCTGGGATGGAGAGGCTATTTATTAAGGAAAAAAGTAGATCAGGTGGGAGGAGGAGCCTATCTCTCATGTAAGCTGTCCTGGAAGATGACTTGGGATAAATAAGATAATTTTGAAATTGATGCAGCAAGACATCTCAAAAAAGTTGGGACAGGGCCATGTTTACCACGGTATGGCATCTCCTTTTCTTTTAACAACACTCTGGAAAAGTCTGGGAACTGAAGAGACCAGTTGCTGGCGTTTTGAGAACTGAATATTGCACCATTCTTGCCTGATATAGAATTCTAACAGTCCTATGTCTTCTTTGTTGTATTTTTGTTTCAGGATGCACCAAATATTTCCAGTTGGTGAAAGATCTGGACTGCAGGCCGGCCAGTTAAGCACCTGACTCTTCTTGAGATGTGTTGCCACCATCGATTTCAAAATGATATATATTTTTTCTTAAAATTATATATTTTCTCGGTTTAAACATTTAATATATTTTCTATTTTGTGCTGGAAATAAAATGAATTTATGCAATTTGCAAATCATTGCATTCTGTTCTTATGCAAATTTTATACAGCGTCCCAACTTTTTCAGAATTGGGGTTGTGAATAAAACTGCAAAAAATTAGAAAATGTGAAAAAAGACTTGTTAAATACAAAATATAATTAAGTACAGCAATGCTGGACATGTATAGCTCTATTCAGCTCTATAAAAGTTGCTGCCCAGTACTGGAGAAGATTTTCTGGAACATGAAAATGCCACAGGAGGCTGTGGCTGACACAAAGAGGTTTGTGTACAAAAGGTTGGGGGGGGGGGGGGGGGGGGGTAGTGTAGCCGTGCTTTAATGTTCCCTTTGAACATAAAGACTAAAAAGCAAAGTATAGTTACATAGTTGGTGAGCTTGAATAAAGACATCAGTCCATCCAGTTCAACCTGTGTGAATGTGTGTATGCATTTATGTCTCTAGCATTTCCCATATCCCACAACCAAATGATAAAATGTGACCTCCAAGTCCAGGGTCTGCTACTTGTTCTCATAAAAATATTATATTTAACAAACACGAAAAAAAGAACAAGCACAAATATGTCAAGAGGGAGCCACCAGTGTATATACTTGAAATGACATTACAAAAATAGATAAAATCCTGACATGGGCTCGTCTTTTTTGCACAAACTGTAAACCCATCCAAGATCACTGATATCTCTCCTGAAACCCGAGGGACAGCTCAACATTATATAAATAAAAATATGATTTTTACATACATCTAAAAACTACAAAGCACATCAGTCACTGTATATTTAGGGATATTGTATAAAAATTCCAAGTTATACTTGAACTAGGACTTGCCATATCCCTGTATATTCGTTACAATGTGGCAGGCCATACACAAACCAAATTTCTTTCCTGCAACCATGGGTTGCCACAGACAGTGTTGACAAGGGAATCCCCCCTGCCGAGCCATTGTATACCAGTGGCTATACCAGCCATTAGTGATAATCGTATGTCAAATCCGGCAGGCTGGATGTACCCAAGTAGATCATTTGATCAACTTGGGAAACATTTAGCCTGCCCATACATGGCGCAAATCTCATCCGGTTTCTGCTTAAACTGGCAAAGATTCAAACTGTATATTGCTGGCATAAGATGCCTATCTAAGAGTTTTTTTAAACAGTGAATTTCTATTGTGCATGTATTTGAAATGACAATTTCCTTAATAGCAGAGCTCCAGGCAGAATAGTTTTGTGATATGTGGTATGTGCAAACTAATTATACATAGCCTATGTTTGAATTGCTGCTGTGTAGTGAAAAATTACTTTGATTTATGGCAGAATGTATACCTACTGCTGTATTTGCAGAACTGCAGCCATGACAGCTGTATTACCCCCCCCCCCCCCCATTCCTTTTGTCCAAATGCCTTGTACTCTGTTCAGTGGTGTATTTAGGTTTCGTGCTGCCCTAGGCAACACACAAATCGGCTCCCCCCCCATGGAGAGACCCTGACACTGACCAACCCCCCCACGAAGAGAGCCTGGCATTGACCAACAAACACCCCAGCTCCCTCCCACCCCCACCCAAGAGAGCCTTCCACTATCACTGCCCCCCATACACTGACAACACCCCCACCCAGCGAGAGAGAAGACACTCACCTTCACAGCTCTGTTCCCCAGGAACAAGAGTCAGGCTCTTCATACACCATCAAGCAGCCCGCAGCCTCTCTCAGATCCCACCTGGTCCCCATGCTGTATGTCTCTCTTCTTTTGGGGGGCGGTGCAGCCCTAGGCAAATGTCTTGTTTGCCTTGTGGTAAATACACCCCTGACTCTGTTTACTGAGTAAAAGGCTGCATTGTGGCTCTCATACAGCGGAACAATCCTGATGTTTATCCTCCCCTCCTCTCTCCTTGTTCACTCTAGGAATACACCTTTTATTCTATAAACAGAATATAAGGTGTTCTGTGAATGGACAAGGAGAGATGAAAGGGAGGGTTAATGACAGGATCACTTCCTTGTATGAGAGATGCATGAGATATTTACACAACACAGCAGTCATACAGACATAGGATATACATCATTAAAGTTCATATTTTGTATACACCACGTTGCAAAATCGTTCTGCCTGGACTTACACTTTAGGCCCCTTTCACATGGGCAGACCAATCAGGTCCGTCTGTCAGTTTTTTTAGGCGGACCCGATCAGATCCTCCATTATCCTCTATGACACGGCTGATGTAAACAGACTTGTGTCCGTTTACACTCGCCTACATACAATCTGATTTTGGAATTTTTCCCCTTCCGCAAATGCAGCTATAACGAAAAAACCCGTAAGTGTTGAAAAAAAGTGCACAGGCATTCCAGTTACATCCGACCGCAAATAGAGGACAGCAGGCTGTGTGTGTCCATTTTGTATAAGCGTAAGGGACACAAAACCAGCCATCCACTTCCTCAGCAAAGATCAGTGGGCAAGATTCCCCGATTTGCAGACTCCTGACGGTGTCCAAAAGGTGTTAAAGGGGCTTTAAAGTAATTTATGTAAATTTATAAAAAATAGAGATATA